AATGATGAATTTTTTTGTTTACCCAAATGGTTCTGAAAAACTGCAACATGTTGTCTTTGCCGAGCTATCATTTTGCCAACTTGGGTTACTAAAAATTTCTTGGAAAGCGTAGGACATAACAAATGGCGACACTAGGTATTTGCAAACATTTTGAAGTTCAAAATCTTTTTCAGATTGACAAAGAAGCCGTTGGGCAACTGGGGAGTTTCCAAGTTGTTATGTATCTCTTATTGTTAGTTCAAAGATTTTAACCAAATTCGTCAACAAAATTAAGGAAATAAATGGCAAAAGTTTAAACTCAAAATAATAAAACCGAAAAAGATTTTTGAGATATTTATTACAATCTACGCGAATTTTACCACAGCTTCATATCAGTTCCTTGAAATCGAAAATAATTTGTGAAGAAGTTTTTCATTATTTCAATACATAAAAAAATATTTTTTGCTTTCTCAACGAATAAATTCTTATGAATATAATGTGATCTTAATCTCAATTTTTTTCGGGGGGACATTACCATTACTTGTCCCCCCGGCAAATTTTCTGGGGGGACATTGTCCCCCTGTCCCCCTGCTTCCGCCGCCACTGGCCGCTTGTCTCTTTATCCTCGTCTGAAGCGGAGGCGTCAGGGACTTGGGTGACGGCTTGGGGTAAAGCGCGTTGGTATTTTCGAGGAGGTTGGCTCATAAAATAGTAAGTTTGAGTACAAGGACTAACACAGTGGTAAGCATTATAATGATAATAGCGTTCATGCAAAAAAGAATCTGATTAGTATTGAAAAGTACGCTGGAATAAACCGTAGTAACGTTAGAAGTAGCTCACCCTGTAATATACCTGGCACCTTTGCACCTTGGCTGCAAAATTATAGTAGTTCAACAAAATAGATCAATAATTTTTAAGCAATTATGCACCAGTGGTGCATAAAAACGAAGCATAAAATAGATCAATAATTATTATGCAATTATGCATCAATGGTGCAGAAAAACGAGGAAGATGACAAAGTATTTTGCACCACTGTTGGAGATTAACCGTGGTGGGTCAAATAAAATTTCAAAAAATTTGTGTCAAAATTATATAATAAATTCTCCCGGCTATTCTGTACCATTGGTGCGTTTTGCATCAATTAACCCAATTGTTTCGCATCATTTTGTGTTACCGATTGTTAGATACCAACGGTGCTATTAATTTATTAAAAAATGGACCTGATCCATTCTAGTGAGTATCAATTGATGCTCATCCAATTGTTTCGCATCAGCTTGGATAACCAACTGTTCAATACGAACGGTGCTACCTATTCCAAAATTGTAGTGCTTCCTCGATCCATTTGCACAATTAATTCGCACCATTTGCGCCACCGATTGTTCTATACCAATGGTGCGCCTAATTTATTCTATAATGGTCAGAGGGATTATTAATTAGCATCAATTGATGCAAAAAACTCGTTAACACACAGACAGACGGACGGACGGACAATAGGAATTCAATAGCTCTCGTGCTACGCAGGGTGAGCTAATAAACCGTAGTAACGTTAGAAGTAGCTCGCCCTGTAATACTTCAGTGACAACATAAGTTGGTATATAAAATTCTGCACCAATGGTGCAAAATAAATGGACACAAAAATGCACGATTTTGATGGAATTTTATACCAGTGGTAGAAAATAAGCGGACAAAATAGATGCATAATTTTCGTTGGGTTTTGCACCAATGGTGGAGAATAAGCGGGGAAAATACACCCAGAAATTTGACATGATTTCGACTTTTTTAGCCTCCGTCGTGGGGATGTATATCTGTCGATTATTCTGCACTTTTGCTGCGTGTTGAATCAATTCTCCCAATTGTTTGTCACCATTTTATGTTATCGCCTGTTCGATACGAATGGTGCTATTAATTTCCTAAAAATTGGACATGGGCCTATTTAATTAGCATCAATTGATGCAAAAAACTCATTAACAGACAGACGGACAGACGGACAGACGGACAGGAGGAATTCAATAGCTCTCATGCTACGCAGGACGAGCTAATAATCAAGCGGGGTGGACCTGAAGACATGAGCAGCGTGCATGTTACATCGCAACGAAGGCTCAGAGTTGAAGGTCACGGGTGGACGGGAATAATTATTTGAAACTGGTTTAGGATTACGAAATCTCATATATGGGCGTCTTGGAGTGGGAGTGGGAGTAGGAGAATTATTTTTGGGACGGGGATGCGCCATGACTATTATGTATGAATTGTATCCAACAAGTTGGGCTTTTATGCCTGAGGGTTATTTTCAAGGTGAAGAGTCTCCACGTGCAAGTGATCACGATTCGGAGATTTCACTTTTTTTGTGTACGTTTGGAAGGTCACCCTGCATTTAATCAGACCCATGCAATGTCATGCAACGCCATGCACCAAACCTGTTTCCATACGATTAATGCAAAACTGTTGCTATGCACTGATGTGCACCAAGGAGGATGAAATGGAATGCGCCTCGATAAAAAGTGGCGTCCTTTTTTTGTCCTTATGCAATTGTGGCGTAGCAACAACACCAAAGACACTCAATTACCAAGTGATATACTCATATCCGAATATGCTTCATATATGCTTAAATATGCTTATCACTCTGATTTTCGCTACATCTCGTAAATCTCGGTAACCCTCAAAAATGCGCAATAATTATGAGGAAGTCTCAGTCTCAGTATCAAACAGAAATACGTTCCGGAGTCATTGTGAAATCGTACTAGAGAAATAAAGGTTTCACCATACCTCAGACGTTGAAACGGGCGTCCCCAATTCGCGGTCCGGATCGACGTGCAGAGGGGTGGGGGGGGGGCGGTTGAGGAACAATGGGCGTTGTTAGAAAGATGTTCTTCGGTATCCTGGCAAGGTCGCCAAATTTTGTTCCCGAATATTTACGTGTTTAAAGCTGTGGATGGGTTGGATGCAGAAATGAGTCGATGTATGGAGAAGAGATGTTGTGAAACGGAAAGTGTATTTATTACGAGTTGAACAATAAATGAGGATGCTGATGCATCCTCACAGCTTACATTACTACATACATTCGCTTAAGGGCATAAGATCCAGTTCTCGTCTCCCAGAACTGGATATTATCTCCTATTCAGTTAATACATTTCATGCATTACTATATTACATATGTATATCAGGCTCTCTCATTATTCCGTCGTACTGGAACAATGCTAATAAGAAATATTTCCTGGAGCGACTTGAATAACTACTGTTTTAATCATATGAAAAAACATCCCGCATAAGTATGGGAACGTCTATGTATTGCGTCATCATTTTAGTGGGTGGGTAGTTTAGTTCTTCCCGTCTTTCCCATGTTAAAATTCCGTGTGGCTTAATGTTTTCGTTGGGTGGGTGGGTGCTAAAATCGAGAATTTTTGATGACGTAATGTATTAATGGCTCCAAGAAGTAACCACCTCAATCCTGCCACGTACACATATCAAATCCCTTCCGTGTTTAAAGTTTACGAATCTCACAAAGTCAAAACCAAGCTAAAAATTCTCATTTCGTCCTATCCAAACCTTCCCCCTGTAACAAGATCAACTCTTTCGGAATATGCACATTTTTAACATTAATAATTAATATACGTACATACATACATATATCGCAAATTTTTGTAACTACTTAATAACTACAGAAATTAATTCACCGTATTTTATTTTAGGTCAGTGGAAACGTCAACTTTTCCGCCGTGAAATTAATATTCACCGACATGTTAGGAAACACGTCAGACGACGGAGCCGAGAAACTACGCCTCTCCCGAGAATACCAGTTAATGAATGGAAAGAAACACGAAAATTTAGTCGAAATCCTGAAATCCACCGACACGCCTTTCACCCTAGAAGATATCAACGTCTTGCTAAATATTCCCTGTGTCCTGAGAAACGACGACGTTACGGAACACCTTGAGAGTTTATCTCTCCGGGCAAAACGAAGAACGCACATTCCGACGTTATGCATTCAAATGGAGTTATGCGGTAAGACGTTTTGATAAACATTTCAGAGATGGATTTGATTTCCAGGGGGATGTCAGTCTCATAGGAGCGTCGTTATAAAGGGATAAGAAAGGGCTTCATTTATCTTTCTGGAAGGTTCTTGAAAAAAGTCAAAGGATCTGAAATGGGGCGTGAAGAGACGGTCACGGCAACGTCGTAATTTGGTATCTATAATGTGACCAGACACACTCCAACCAAAACCACAGGCCATTATTGGGACCTCGTCCTACGCTGTAGGGTTTCATCATCATCGAAGAAATAAACTCCATTCAGAGCCCAGTAGTAAAAAAAAGTTCAATAATAACGATGGTCTAACTTCTGGTTGAAAAATAGATATCTCTGTGCTGATAAGAATCATACATACACCGCATAGTTTTCTTTGACATACGTGTACAAGGAACGGCTTAGAGAAGGAATTAGAAGCACAAGCTGGTCAATAAATATATATATAATTATATTGGCTCGGTACGTGATGCGAGTTTTCAATAAAATCATTCCACGAAGTAAGAGGGTTACCAATTGAGGTTGCGGTCTTGTTATTTAGAAAAAGCAGGATTCTCCGTTATAAAGGGATAAGAACGGTATTCTTTTGTTCTCGCTGGGGAATAAAAAAATACATATCAGGAAATTCAACAATGTGGGCAAAAGCCTCCATCCTACAGGTTTTTAGGGTTTATGTACATATTTATGTGATTTCGCCTTAGTTTCGTTGCTTTGAAAGATTATGTAAGATCAAAACCCAGATTGGGGTTGAAAAATTGTCAACCGTGAAAACCACTAAGATCCAACCATCCCCGGCAAATTAAACCCGTTTCGAATTGAAACTCGTCTTTTTTTACCATACCTGAAATAGATTGCCTCCGCGCCGCCAGCTTTTTTCGGACGAAGAACAAAACGGCGGATGTAATCAGGGCTGCGACTATTAAAACCGGCGCGATGTACGAAATCATATTATCGTCCGGAGCGGGTGACTCAGTAAGTGATAAATCGTCCATCTCGTTGAAATATAGCTCGTCCTCGCCACCTTCACAATCCACTACGCCGTCCTTGACTTTCTCCATAGGAATGCATTTATCACCACACTGGAATTGCCCTGCTTCACAATTGTATAGCTGAGCACAGAATATTTCGTTTTCGTCATTTCCCCCAACACAATCCACTACCCTGTTGCACAGTCTTGTGAGTGGGATACAGTCTCCTTTCCCACATGCGAAGTTATTTGGACCGCAACTAAATAATACCCAGATATTGATTAGGAATTGTACATTTGTATGAATTTCCTAATTTTTTAATACCGATCACTGTCACGAATCCAGGCTAGCGTATCGTCCGTCCAAAGCGAAAAGTAGTACACATCACCAGGGTGACATCTTCCAGACTTGTTTCTGCTAAAATAATTATTGGCGTACCCCAATAGATAGTATCTTCCATATATCCAACTGGCAGGCCCAAAGTCTCGCCAGACGCATTTCATTACAGCATTACCTAAAATAGCATGAATTCAGGGTAATCGACAAGTTTCAGAGAAATCATTTCATCGAGTCAAACCTTCATCCACAGTTGCACAGAACCTGTTTTCGTAAACGTTATTAATTTTGAATCCCACCCACCGACGAAGACATTTATCGTGACGCTGAACGGTAAGATTTTGGTAAACCACGACATTCTTTGGGGAGCCCTTCTGCAAACCAGCATATAAGACAGAGCGATCACTGCTCTCAAATATTTCAACTTTATTGAAACGTTCCGCAGAGAGTGGGAGACAAACTGGCTGAATATTTTCCGAAATTTTTATTGGATGTTTGAGGTGGTACAAGACTGCATTGTGGTCTGCATTGGTCCAGTGTCGCTCGGTAAATTTGGGATGGATTGATATATGACTGATCTAAACGGAATAAATATATTTTAATTTAATAAATTTAGGATGAAATAATTTGGTTGAAGATCTCCGTTAGGGAGGGTCCACACATTGCGTCATGATTTTAGTGGGTGGATGGCATATTTCCCATGTTAAAATGTCCCTTAGTGTGTACGTTGGACGGGTAGATGTTAAAAATCAAGAATTTTTATGACGTAATATATGGATGGCCCATGAATAGGCAGTCACTTACAGGGATAACAGTCCTAGTAATACCCAGCACTGCATGGTAGTTTCGGAACGGAAATATCGTCAAATTATTATCATTGTTAGGAGCAACAATCCCCAGTGTACCTTCGGAATAGATTCAAAATGTTAACTATGTAACAATCAAACGAATTAATGTCTGAGGGTTTTCTAGTCAATTAGTCAATCTAATTAATTATCTAATTAAATAGCATGCGTAAACAAGGCGACGCGTAATTAACAAAATTTTTCGTTGCTTAATAAATTCGGCATAAGTAACGAATCTGGTATCTATTTATGTATGTATAAGTAAAGAAAACGACATACTCGACATTACAATCGTTGTGCAGAGATGATGCTCCCCGAAATATCTGTTTCAATCTCCCGTCCCTCATCATCCGTCACCCTGATAATGGCTGACCAAGGAAGAGAAATCCTCTGCTGCTGGCCAGAAAGGGTTTTTTGGTGAAAAGTGAATTTTCCACAGGACGTGTCCAAATACTAAAAAAGCATAAACCATTATTAACAGAGGGTGGATATGTATGTATGTAAATTCCGCAAAATATGCATGTACTAAATATATGCTTAAAAAACGTGAAAATATGCCCACAAAAAATGTTTTTCAACTTAAATTTTCTACTATCTTTATGAAAATATAATTTTGGAAAAACCTTATTTTCTGAATTAAGAAACATATTTTGACATAAAAACTTCGAAATGTCTTCTAAAAATAATCATATTTAGAAAAATAGTCGAAATATACAGGAAAACTTGTATATATACCCAAAATACTCACAATATGTATGAAAATATGTGATATGTACGAAAACCCTAAAATATGTCAAATATGGAAAACTATATTTGAATTTTTTTCGATCATGCTTAGATGTAATTTCAGTATAGGATGTTTTAATACGATCCGATTTGGTATAAAAAAAGTTTTAAATACATACATAGCCGCCATCTGATTATTAAACGTGATATATAGTACTTGCCTGTGACCCAGTCAGCCCCATCAAACAAGGGACCAAATAGAAGAAGAGCGCATGCCCATTTCCCATTTCTCGTGCCCTTATTTATTCCTCATGGATATTAAATCTCAATAATTCAATCGAAATGTGAATACCACTTAACTTTCACAATGAGAAATATTACGCTCCTACGCTCCAAACGCAGATTTCGCTTGTCGTTACTTGTCAGCAGAGTATCCTATGTGAAACTAAATTTGAGCCAGCAATGGTTATAAAGGGGAGTCACTACACTCTAAGAAATTGGGTGAAAGGCGTTACCACCGGAAAGAGCGAGGATCACCGTAATGGTGATACAACTATCACCAAAATCTATCACCATTGGTGGTGATAGCCGTTACCACCAACTATGGTGGTGGTTCCTATGCTCTATAATCCATCTGGTACATAATTGACGATTATAATCGCCGGTTATACTTCACAAAATTTGCTGATAGTACGACGGAATCAGTAAATCAATTTGTAGAAAGATTGTCGGTAAAGCAATTATCTCTAATATTTTGATCAATCTACATAAATCAAACTTTAATTAATATCAAACTTTAATTACTTTCAGTCAGTGTCCTATCTCATGACTGAAAACTATTCGCAACTTTAATTGCTGGTGCAATTCCACAATGACGAGCAGCATAGGTTTTACATATATACGTATATAAATACATACATGTTAAGTATCTCTTAAAGCATTTAAATGAAGCAATAAATTGTGAAAAATGCGACATTTTTGTATGAAGTAGCGAAATTATTTTTATTTATTCATCACCAGACAGTGAGAAATATGATGGTGGTATATCACTGAGCGGTGATAGAAAATTTCGACCATTCTACAATCACAATTGCGGTAGAGTCACATATAGTCACCGCTCGGTGACAGAATACTGGTAAAATTTCTTAGAGTGTATCAGCAAAAATAAAACTATGTGGTCAGTGGTATTTTAACTTAAAAGATTTCCCACATTTAAAATGAAAGGGTATGCGTGGCGAAACAATCGTTCCTAAAATGTGCATCGTGTACGAAGCGATCCGTGGAAAAAAATGGCAAGGTGGTTGGGCTGTGCAAGTTATTTGTACCAGGAGGAAGGCTGGGCATACTTATCCGTGTTGTAATTACGCATGTATGTATTGAGCATCACCAATAACTGCCAGACTTTCGACTTAGGTTGCTATCAATGCAATGTGGCACTGCGAAAGATTCAGTGGCGGATTAATAGTGTTGGTGACCTAGGGGCCCCCGTGCAAAGGGGGCCCCCGGGTGCGATGTAGTTAACAACGAAGTTATCCCATCAAAATTGACGAATGCTACAGAAATTGAAATACTGTAGTTATGTAAGTATTATGTATCCATTTCACAATTTGTTTGTGAAATTCTGAGCAGAATATTACATAGATAATTTGGAGATATTAATTCTCTTTACTTTTTTGATGTGTTGACAATTTTCGCATATAATTTTTGCATATAATTTTCGCATATAATTTTCGCATATAAGTTTTAGTAGACTAATAAAATTTGGGGCCCTTATAATTTTTAGATTTTTGCCTAGGGGCCCCGTGAAGGCTTAATCCGCCACTGCGTAAGATGAGAATGTACATATTCTCAACCAGGCAAATGCCAGACAGCTAAAAAAATCAGGAACAGGGAGCAGGCTTAGGTTAATTATTTATTATTAATTATTTCCGATTTTTACCCGACTAATTTCAAATTTTTCACGCACAAAAATAAGCGAATAGAAAATTTCGAGCGTGCCGGAATTTTCAAATAAATTTTCTACTAAAATCAGAATTTTTAAATACGATCTAACGCTTTGAATTTCCGACGGTTGTGGTTGTGCAGAATACATAATAGCGGCACAAATTTTCTGCAGGAGTATGTATGTCGATAAAACAAAAATATGCAGGTATGCAGAATTGAATATGCCTTGTGAATTTCTGTCGGGAAAATTTATCCTTCGTTTAATTTACTGATAATGGAGGTCTCCCAACGTATGCTCACAGATTTGGACCAAACTAGCGTCAATCGATCATACATAAATATAATTAGTATGAAATTCGCAAATGGAACTATTTGCCACTGCTCAAGTTTAGAGGAAATATTTGCATAAAAAGAGGAGAAAACGCACCAAAAGGTTGGCATATTTTTAATTTTCCAAATTTCCTGCGCATCTTTTCTGTTTTGAATGCAAATATCTCCGCCAAACCTGCGCATTGGCAGATATTTAGTTCCATTGGCAAATTTGATACTAATCATATTTGTGATCGATAGACGCTAGTTTGCTCCAAATCTGTGAGCATACGTTGGAAGCATACGCATTTGGAGCATACATACGTTTGGAATACCTCCATTGTAAGTGCTTTGACTTTTCAAAAAAGTCAAAATTATTTTTAACAGCACAACCATACCTCACACATTCCTTACTGCACGCATAAAAGTGTATGTACATACACCTTCATTATTATCAACAGCACACAAACTACACGAGTATTTAAATCCGTATTTTATTATTCAAATGCATGTGTGTAGCATACTCATGAGCAATGAGTTTGCTGGTATTGTATTATGAGTTATCATTGACTTCGTCTTGTTTAAAACTCCTTCGCCGTCATCGTGGTCGACTCTTCTTTCTTCTTTATCACTCGCCTCACAAGTGATTGACAATCAATTATTCTATTTTACTCGTGCTTGTGGTAGTTGATGTATGTACTTGCGCAACGACTGACGTCCAGTTTCCCAGAAATACATTCAGAATTCTGCTATTTCTTATGTACTTACGTAGATACACACTCTTAAGAATGGGGTTAAAATTATAACCAAATAGTAAATGTACATATGTAAGTCTACCGCAGTGCTTATAAATAAAGTTGTCACAGAGTGGTTATGAAGTTTCATCTACTTGGTATCAAATTGTAAAAAGAGCTAATATTTATGAAGGGCTGAGCTAAGTAATATGAATGATACATGTGGCGCCGTGTAACATGAGGCATATTCATAGATAGGTCACATGGGTCAAAGCTCTCTCAACATGGACCACACACTGTGTGCATGGCCCCTTATCAAGCGATACTTCTACACATGAAGGACCAATTCGTCCGTAGAATTTTGTAAATGGTTAATACAAATATCCAGATTTCTTTATCATGTCATTGTGCATATTTATTTAATGCGGATGCGTACCTATTAGGGCATCCAGAATCGGAAAATTTTGAAAACCGGTTTTCGATTTTGCCGATTTTGGAAAACTTTTGTAAAACCGGTTTTCGATTTTTCCGGTTTTTTAAATTTTCGCAAAACCGGTTATTTTCTCTCAATTTTTAGCGAAAATTAGTTATCGAGAATGTGCGAAAAATGTATTCGTGGAGAATTTCACCCAAAATCCTAAGTTAAGCATGATTTTGTATGAAACTATGTGACATTGTTGTTATACAAAATTAGATTACTGTACTCTTATTTTTGTTTGTATCGGAACAAAAAAAGTTGTTTATTTTTGGGGGCTTTTCTACTCTAGATATTATTATTAAATGACGATTTCCATCGGCTATCGCCGGTAAAAAAGGTCGTATTTTATTTTCTGCAGTTTTAGCTCAAAAACCTGCTCAGAGGGTCCGAACTATTCAATTTAGACAGTTTTTAAAATTTCCACGTCCTCCTGTGTGTAATGGTATGGGTGAAAGCACTACCTTTTTCGACAAAACTTGACAACTTTCTCCTTCGAATGTGACGCAACCAGTAGGCCCACAGCGGTCAAACTTCGCATGGACAATCCCCTGGGTAAGCTTTCGGGTCATCCTGAAGCGCTAGGCCCTACCCGTACTCCTTGACCTCAAAATGACATTAGCTCAAGTTACAAATTTGGTTCATCCATCACTATTTTTTAAATAGCTCGCATTTCAAGAATCCCCAATCGATTTTCTTCATATTTGGTAAAAAATGATTCGAATAATTTGTGCTATTATATTCGTTAAGAATTTTTAATTTTTCTCTAAGGTCAACACATTTTTTCAAAAGGTCAACAGGTCAAGTCTCACATAACCCCATAAGTGGGGTATCGTTGGACAGGTCTTGGCGGGAAGATTCAGAATATATATACTTTATGGGGTCTGGGACCACCCTCCAGTTTTCTAGAGACTGATATTTATTATTGAGCTTGGGTTTTCCGTGCATGCTGACGGTAACACAGGAGCAGGTTAAGAGCTAACATAGCGATAGATTGAGGAAAACTCGATATTGCTCATCGGTCTCTAAAAAACTAGAGGGTGGTCCCAGACCCCATAAGGTATATATATTCTGAATCCTCCCGCCAAGACCTGTCCAACGATACCCCACTTATGGGGTTATGTGAGACTTGACCTATTGACCTTTTGAAAAATTTGTTGACCTTAGAGAAAAATTAAAAATTCTTAACGAATGTAATAGTACAAA